GCCGCCTTCGCAGTACATGGGGGAAGGTGGTGTTTAATACTCAGCACATCTGAGGTGACGGAGTAGTGGAGTCTGGAAGTTGGGATGAGACTGCGTGGTTACTTGGTACTCAACCCTGCGCGACACAGTCAGACTCCAGAACGAGCGCTAACGCTCCTCAGTTTTAGGAAAAAAAAAAACAATATAACTTTCAATTAGCATTTCCAAAAGGTGGCCAAAGACTGCAAGAAAGGAAAGAAGAGGCATCTAGTGGGGGGGAGGGTGGTGAATGAATTACAGTTTGAAAATACAGGGTCTTGGCTAACTGTTCTCACAGGCCTGGGGCTTGCTTGATCCCAAGTGAAATGCCTGAGCCTTTGACCATATCTGTGGTTTTAGCTAAACAAAGACAGCAACACAAGAAGCATTAGGAATCTTCAGTAAAGAGCTGTACGGGCTTAACAAAAACCAAAAATATACAATATAATTTAAACACCTGAGATAAAAGCATGGGATTTGATAAAACAAAAGCAGACATTCTTCACTTTACAAATCTTTCCAAAGCTGAGGACTGGGGACCTGTAACCACTCACTTGAAACCCAACTGTTAAAAAAGAGTTTTGGCTATTAAGAAACTACTCAACTTGATCTTCAGTGAGAACTTGTCTGGACGTTTCCCTGGATTTCCTGAAATACCAGAAACAATAGAGTAATCACAGGTTTCCTTCAAGGGAGAAGAAGAAACTTGGTCACACCCTTTATTCAAGCAGGACATTTAATACAATATATAATAAGGAAAAACTGGTTCAGTGAATCCCCTCAAGCCACAATGAGGCGTTGGAAGGCGCTCCCTTCTCCACACACACAGAGCAGTCAGACACTCTTGCGCACCAGTAAATGCTCAGTTTTTCTAGCCACCCTCAGTGACTGGGTGTGGAGAGGAGAAAGCATTTTCAGTAATTTCTCTAGCAATTTCACACTAGTTACTGACTGTAAAATATGCAAGAACAAGTTAACTCTCCAAATTATTACTACTCACTCAGCAGATCTGACATCCACCCCAGAGGAGCACATCAACCTCCTACTTACTGCAAGTGAATGAAGAACTAAGTAGGCACTTAGCTGTTCTCTAATCTGTCTTTCCAGTCAAGACTGATGATCACCTCACAAAACTAAGGGAAAAAAATACTTAGCCATTAGTTGGGGAAAGAGAGAAAAAGTGAGGAAAAAGGGTCAAAAGAGATACAGAAATCTGACAAAAACATGAAGAGAAACTCTCTAAAAGCAATTCCTATTAAACTTTTAAAACATCCATGTTACACACTCATAATTAGCGCAGCAATGGCTATCGTCTTCTTGAGAACTACATGGTTAATCCTGCTTTCACGTATCCCTTTAACTAAGTAAAAAAATCAGAAGTGTTATTCAGCACTTAGTATTTCTATATGCTCAGATAATACGGTTCACTCTAGGAGAAAAGCATTTCAGTAAAGGTTGCACTTTGTCTATCCTGTGCAATTCCATTTGTGGGACCAAAAAATACTTCTGTCCAGTGCTATGCCTTTGAAAAGAGACATTAGTGTATATTTATTCCTCCTAGAGACATGTGCACAGCTGTGTTAGCATTTAAGGTTTGTCAAAGGTGACTCAGTTTCGCCAAAACTGATGTTAGACTCGCTTTCCTAACTGATGATTAATAATTTCACATGTAAATCTGTATACCATGCTAACAGTTTGCAAGACTGAGTCTTTCTTACAGAGTCTTCTTTCAGTAAATACTGAAGAAATAAGTGTGCAGAGTAATGACCCTGCAATATGGTTTTCAGCTGCTATAGGACAATCTTTTGATGGTGACAGTGTAAAAATCTAAATACAAAGGCTGTCTCCACCAGTTCATCAAATTCAGAAGTGTAGCGTCAGTTTTGTATCACAACTGAAAGGGAGGCTTTAGAAATGGTTGGTACACGCTTTTTTAGGAAGGAATGAGATTAGATTCACAGCACTCGTGTTGGTCTACAAAATCTGAGGAATGCCTTAAACTTAAATAAAACTTACATTCAAGTGTTCTGTTGTCTTATCTGTAGCGACAGACTTGCTAAAGGGGAAGAAACCCCCTGGCTAACATAAGTCCCTGAATCCACTCATTTGTATATAACCGCATCCCTTTAGGGCATGGAACATTAGTGCCCCAGACATGAGTTGAGTTACTCTCTGCTTTATTGCATGAATCCCAGTAAAAGGTTATAACGACGAACGAATCACAGTTATATAACAAAAACAACAGGTGGGGGGAATCTGAAACGGGGGGGAACCCCACAACTTTGCCATCTGAAGACTCATTCACACTAGAGTTACATTTGCATGGTATATATTTTGTGTAGTATTTTGCTTCTGACCAATTTTCTAAGCTGCAGATACATTCCTCAATACAAGTGCGTACACATACTGACATTCACTCTCTTATTTTCTGAAGAATTCAAGTGATCAGAACAGTACTTAAAACACAGTTGTCTTTGGATCTTATTTGCTTATAATGGCATACCTTTTAAATAAAAAGCAAAGACCATTTAGCTAATCTGAAATACGAATAACATTCGCTCTGCCAGGTTTCATATATAACAAGGTTTTCCCTTTTAAATTCAGGTCAGATATGGAAATCCCAAAACATTTAAACATTGGTTTTTCATTGCTCAAATGTTTTCAATGCCTGAAAAAAAAATCTGTTCAACTGACAATCATCCTATGGAAGAATGTCAATAGCACAGGTCAACATCATCTTGGCTGAAAGGGAAGATGTTGACCTGCCTGTACACATACATGATGAGTGGAGGGTTGCAAAGAAGAGACTGGGGCTGGCTAAAAGGACACTTTACAGGAGCGATAGCAATGTCCATTCGCAGAGCTGCTTTGCCTTAGCTAAACGCATATTAAAACCCAGAGCTATTGCAAGACTTTGAAACATCTCACTCGGAGAAGTCCTCATCTCATCTATGAATGTCTGTGTCTCTTAAAACATAAGGGTTATTGTGAATTTATGCATATAGCAGTATCTCCTCACTATAGGTCTACACACATTTACAGCAGAGACTCTTTAGGTAGGCTAATGGGAAAGTCTACAGCAAGCTGCAGACCACAAAAAACATTACAGATAGTATGTCTGCCTAAGCTATAAAATTTGCTTGATCAGATATGAGCAAAATCTGCTAATTGTGCAGTTTGTTACTGAAAATGCAAATTACAGTTCACATGCATCAGACACTATCAATTAGGCCTGAAAATGGGCGTGGAAATACTTTAAAAAATTAATTATATGCATTTGATTGCATAATACACAGCTATTCTGTGTTTACAGGCCGAATAATTGCAGAATTGAACTATGTGAAGATGTCTTCAGGCTGACATGTAAGGAAACAAAAATTCAATCAATCAGTATTCAAGCTTCATTTTTCACTTCAAAAAACCAATATATTGATTTATCCTTCTTTCCTAAAAAAGTCTTTGATTAGAAATGTCAAGATAGTATCAATGAAAAATATTCAAAGATATGATAATGAAATCCTAAACACCTTTCACTTACTGCCAAGTACAGTCAGTATACTTAATGAACAGAATTAATTACTTACTGTTCTGAAATGAGGTAAACAGCATGAATAAAAAAAAAATCTAAGCATACACACACAGGGAAATGTTCCTTTGTCTCATATCAAGCTATATGCAAAGCTTAGGCATGAACACATCACTTTTTGTTCTTGGTGAAGACTGCTTCAAAACGTAATACCTCCCTCATGAAGAACAATGATTACCTTTAACTTCATTTGTGAGAAAAGCTTTAATACCTCATTTGATTTTATCTTACCAGATGAGTTATAAGCCTATCATGCTCACGAATGAAAGGTAATCACCCTTCCTTACCACTAAAATACCTTAGGAGAATCACACACTTCACTGAGACAAGCAAAGAGCTGGGGTCACCTTGAAAACTGCAAAAGCTGTGTAGCTTATCTCTTTATTTTCTTTTTCCATTGAATCCATTCTGCCTGTAACACCCAGACTAGCATATTCAGCTTCAGCTAACTGAAGGGCTACAGCCCAGCAGGCCAGATTTTATGAAATTTTGATTCAAGAGTTTATTCACGTAGTATGGAACTCTGCTTGAACCTAAGTGACTTCTGCAAATAGACACACAGATTTGAAAAAACAGTTTAACTCTTCTAGAAAGAGCAGATCAAAAGTTTCAGCAACAACTGATTAGGAAAGCTGATTTGAGGAAGGCCTTGGGCTCTCCTCCCTGGGGAGGACTCTATTATTATTATTATTATTATTAAGTCCACAGTTTTAACATATTTATTCACTTATCTTCCTGTGCAAAGCTCTTACAGAAGTGCAGAGTGGCTGCACATATTTAATTTCTGCAAATATGTAGGCAAAGGTTATCAGTGAATAATAGTTAGCAACAGTCAAGGTTATCAACACCTCTTTCCTTTCCATTCCAGTCTGTGCTTTAACCACTTCCCACTTGCTTCCCCACGTAATCAGTCCTTCCCTGAGACTCTTGGCAATTACACCTCAGCGAGGCTTGAATTGCCTAGGAAATAGAGGGACGCAAAATAGCAGACTCCAGTTTGTCGTCTCATCTCTGTCTAGTTAGTGAACTAGACTGAATATTTCACACAGCTCTTTCAATGCCTGAGAAGGATATAGTTCTGATACAGATCTTGTGCACTTGCTGCGTCAAAGCTGTAACTGTAAAATTCTGCAAGTCTGAGGGCAAAGCGTTGGGTGAATGTACCAGTGCACGTCACAAGCCCGTGCTGACCAGGCGAGCGCTTCTGCAGCACTCCCAGCTTTGTTGGCACAGTGCAAGGTGCGAGGGGCAGTGGCTTTACATGCCACAAACAAAAAAATGGAATACCAAAAGGAGGAGGAAAGAACAGAGGGTAATATTGCTTTCATTTTTCTGAGCTGTTTCACACAAACTTTTAACAATTCATGCATTTACCATTGCCTTATCGTTTACATACCATGCAAGGTTGAAGAGCTCAGGATGGTAAGGTAGCTGGATTCGCATTTCTGTGATTCAATATCCAGGTCTCCGATTTTTAAGATCAGGCGTTTTCCCTGAGGCACTTGAATTTTCTTCTCGCAAACAGTGTAGTTTGGGTATGTCCCAGGGTAGTTCCTGGATGCCAGTGTCCCACTGTCTTGGTACATCACCACATGCCCGCATCCATCCCCTAGAGTAAGCAAAGAACCAAGGATTCTCGGTATTATTAAATTAAAAAAAAAGAAAAAGAAAAAGAAAATACTGACCGCATAATCCCATCTTACACACACACTTCCACCTTTTTAAAAAAGTATTATGTAATATGTTACCTCAGTAATGCTGTTATTGGAAAATAGGTAATTAGAATAAAGTGTCATATTTCTCTTGTAAAGCTCAAAAGAGAGGTGGAAACACTCATGAACTAAGATGTATTTGACAGTCCTGTACAGTCTCCCTGGTTTTCTGTTTTACAGCCAAACCTTGCTGAAACCCTAAAGCTACAATTCAAAATGTAATAGGTAGACTTCTTCCTTACATACCTTTCTCCCAATTATCATTCCATGTTTTATTTCCATACAATGGAGCCATCAGGGAGAAGGTAACTGAATCGTGTCTGTGCTCTCATGCATGATTTACCTACATAGTATCACTGACCCAACTCATCTTACTTTCCTGTTGGTTTTCTTGCTCCACTTCTACAATGCACAAAGCATTAGGGGCAAAGCAAATACAGAAGAGGAACTTCAAAAGCGGGTTGCGTATCACTAGTGGAGTACGAGCTACATCGTGGTAGTATGCCGGGAGATGCTACCACTGCTGCCTCCCTGCTACAAGGGGTTAGGGCAGGAGCTCTGCTTCGCCGACACACGCGTAGTGCTGTCGCTGCTGCCGGTGGCACAGTGGTTTTTTCATGATACTGCGTACGCGAGCCACCTTGGCAGCCCGCCGTGGAGAGGCATCAAAGGGGCAGCTGGAGCACGACGCATGACAGCTGGAAAAGGCACATGGAAATACAAGGGGGGAATGTGGGGGCCGAGATAAAAAACAGGAAGCATCCACAGAGAGGAAGGAAGCAGTTATCAGATAAGGGACCTTGACTAGTAAAGGAAGCAATTTGCCATGAACTACTTAGAAGTGTACTAGTAACTTGAAATTTATATTCTAAAAGCTTAAGACAAATCATTCTGCTAAAAATTCCAAATAATGGAAACTATTGCAATAGTGGAACTACTGCCAAATCTATGTGCATATAATAGACGTAGATGCTCTTTACTTAGAAGTCCTGTATATTGTTACCCTTTATTACTGCAAAAATTAAAACTGATCCTAGAAGTGTTAATAAAATGAAGAATCCTGACGAGCGGAGAATTCACAACATGTACTTTAACTACCCAGCTTTTGAGGACATTTTGGTCAAACTCTTTTGACCTGTCCGTTTTAATTTCTACCTAAATTTCCTTCTGCAGTCACTAGAAGGAACAAACTTAAGATCCGATAAGACTATTTAAAGGTGAACAACTAGACATGAAGTGATGATAAAGAAACGTGACATGCCGGGGGGTGGGGGGGAAAGTGGCATACTGTGCAAAGATAAGCTGCAAGCTATCCAACTTTGACTCACTGCTGTATAATTACACTGCCATTTCATGCAATTCACTCAACTGCTTTTTCACAGGCAACAGCATTTATTTTGAAGCTTTATCATTACTACCAGCTTTGTTGCTTGCTATTTAATTCTGCTGCAGATTCATGCTTCGAATAGAGGTGAATAGGAACACATATCCAAAATCATATCACCATAAAACACATTAAATATGTTTTTTCAGATCTCTTTGTTCGCACATTTTAAAAAATACCTGTTTTTAAAATTCCTTACCCTAGCTTTATCGATTTTAGAATGCAGAGGCAAATGCTAATGTTGAAAGACAAACTGGACTTCTGGGCAAATCCCCTTTTCAGCGTAAACTTTCTGCACCAGGAGTACCGTATATGCGCTACCAACTGTCTGAACTGAGGGAGGGATGAAGGAGGACTAGCAGTGTAAGACTGGGCCACTTCTAGTGGGGCACAAGACACCCTTGCTGTTTGTGCAGACTGGTGTGCAGTTAAAAAAAAAACTGTGCATGGCCTTTATTTAAACTGTGTGTTTCTAACTAAGTATTTATTTGAGTTGGGCTCAAGAAAAAAAAATTACAGTCTGGAGCTTGGCTTGCAACTCATCCTCCATGAGGAAGAAAACAGGAAAACAAGGAAAAAAGTGATACCTGTACAACAAAATGTCATGGAGATGAACTCTTTAAAAACTCTAAAATCCTTGTGTTTGATTTCTCTTAACCTTGCTGGGTTACATTCCGGCCTGTGTTACCTCCAAACAACCCCAAGGATCTTTTGCGATACAGAACTCTCCTCAGAGAGCTGAAAAGACATCACTGTCGTGGTTAGACCCTGACAACTGCACAGGTCACAGATCATTATATTTCTGCAGCAAGTGTACGGGCAAAACTGTGCCAAAGACCTCAGCCTGCCACCCTCTTCTGGGGAGGTTATACAAGGCCTTGTTCCCAGGGAAACTCCTTTTTCAAAATTCGTCTTTGAACCAGCATTGAAATGAATTAAAGCCAGAACAGCTCTTTTGAGCTAAGAAAGTATAAAAATTATTTCCTGGCTTTTCACTAGTGGAACCTGGGCAGGACACTCATTCAAATACTCATGCTGATGAGAAGCAAGTGAAACATCATCTAACTCCTCTTGCTGCCTATGTCCTGTCTGTTCACCTCAAAGAAAAAGGTCATGATGAAAGCTTCTCTGTCACAAGGACTGAAGTAATATCCAAAAAGTCCTGCCAAATCCTAGTAAGTATAACTCCTTATAGAGAAGGCTGACTATGGTCCTAAATTTTAGTTTCTAAGTAATTAAGATTACCAAAAATAAAAACTGTTAAACTGAAATTTGCTGGGAAATGTACCCAATGGAAGGATTTTGAAGGTGTGGAAGGCAGGCAGAAAAAAACCTCAGGATCTGATAATTCATTCAAAGAGAGAACTAATCACAGTGTAGCAGAAAAATTTTAATTGTAATTCCAGTATATATCAAAGGGTGAGAAATGGAAGCAAATTATAAGGAATTCCAATTATATTTCATATATGTATACACACACACGCACACAAGGCTATCATTAGTTTTGTTCTTATCTAAGTTTTCTACATAAAATTTTGATTTACAGTAGAAATAAATTGGCCAAACCTCAAACATTTTGATTCCAAAATACAACTACTTGTCCTCATAAAAACTATAGTTTAAATAGCTCGTTATGTTCTTTTCTATAGGTGCAGCCCTTCTGGCTGGAAATACGTATATTTAACCAGACAATTCCATGTAGGATTTCTTGCCAACTTTACGACTCTCTTGCTACCATTACTTTTGACAACTCCCTTCTATCACCAAGATGTTGATGGTCTTGCCTCAGATGTCCAGGTTTCATCACTTCTCGTTGGACTGGAGCAAAGTGACATATTTGAGCACAAGGTATTCAGCAGCCAGAAAGTTTAAGCATGTTCAGGTTTAATAAAATCTCTCTGCAGCACCAGGACTTACTAAAAGCACATGAAACATGCTTTGTAAACGGAGTTCCCACAGGCATTTGAATCAAGTTCGAGGCTGCAGTCTTTGGACTGAGGGCACCTGCCTGTTGGCCTGCACTCAGGTTGTACCAAAGATCATGTAACACTGGAATTACGACCGTTTACCATCAAGATAAAAATACTGTCTGTGAGAGATGATGGAAATAACTCCCCAAGAACTGAAAACCACAACCAGCATCTGCTGCTGCAAACGCAGGGCACGTTTCTTTCACCTTGACTTCTCTTGTGCTCATAGCAACACATACATATAAAATCAAAACCTGAAGATTTGATTTTGAACCATAGTAGAGTTAGAGAACTCCGAAAATAACATGGGTCCCCTGAAGTACCCTCCTGCCACCCAAGATCACCTGCCTTTGCATGCCCCCAGGCTGGGCAGGTCCCCTCACCCTGCCTCTCTGCAGGCTGAGCTCACAAGCCGAGCTTTAGCCTCTTCGCCACGTGCTCCCTCGCTTTTTTCCACCCTTTGCAATGGGTGACATAGCACCTTCATCCTAAAATATTGCCCTTGGCCTTGGTGAAAAGGTTATGTTTTTCAAACAGTTTTATAAAAGGTTTTTGTGTACTGCACCTTTTACTAACCGACGTTTATCCTGCCAGCTATAAAATGGTTACACAGCTTTATTTCAAAGTGTGTCTTCAAAAGCATTGCTACAACATCCTGGCAGAAAACAGCTGCCTTTTTCATCCTTCTGATTCATGTTCACTAAGCAATTAATAAAAGACTTGGATTCACTCCAGTGCTAAAAACATTTTATACCTAAGTGTACTCATGTACACAGCTGCCCAGCACACACCAGCAGCTCCTGCGCTCCTCCACATTGTGCCATGAGCCGCTTTGGGCACTACCATTTCTCTCCACCTCTCTGTTTACAGAAAATACTGATTTTTGACTGTAACAGTATCTGAAGAGATACAACTGCAGCTGGAGACAGCCACAGCGAAGAAAATGCCAGAGCTGAGCGTACGGCTTTGCAAGTTCTGCAGATAACCACCGCCAAGAGCAGAAATCCCTCTCATCTTCCGTTTTGCTTTTCCTGAAGTCATGACTTCAGCTTATTAAAAGATACAATAACAACTGAGTCAAGAAAGAGTTCTGCACCCATGCTTGACAGAAGCTTCACTTCATGTATATAAATCGATGAGTACCCAAAAAAGTGATCAAATCTTTCCCTGTTCACATGGGAGGGGAGGAAAGCCCAGGGAAAACCCAAGATTTTTTGCTGGATGCCACCCTAGTCTGCTGATGTGGTCTGACAAAACTTTAGTTTGTCATATAGTCACTGGGACCTTTATCGCTAACCAGATCATGCAGGCTGCAGACATCAGTGTGTTTGTACTTTCACTGCTGTGTGACTGAGTAAATTCCAGAATTAAGCACTTCATCTCTAACCTCTTCAGCAGCAAAACTAGGTCAAGAGCTTCAGCTCTTTCTGTACCACTACAACGGAAAAGCGAGCTCACCATGCAAATGGGGGCTGCGCCGCTCCGTCTTCCAGAGAATGAGGAAAATCTCAGACCTCCTCACCCTGCTCATTAATGGGTTCAGGGAGATAATAAAAATGAAAGGTGGTG